GGGCGCTTTCCCGGCGGGGCTCCGCCGCGCTCCAGGGGCGGGCCGCTTCCGGCCGGTGCCCCCAGGCTGGCGGGCGGAGGACTTGTGACTGCGGAGGCATGAAGTGGGGCCCCTTCAGCGGTGTCTCATTTGCAGCGCGTTGGGAGCAAAAGGCGCCTCCTGGAAGAACGCGTGGAGGGCGCTCTCCGGGGTGGAAAGAGTCCGCGGGAGGAGTCGAGGAGCGGAGTCTGGGGGCCGCTTCCGCGGGCCCTGGAGGAGGAAAAAGGAGGGGCGGGCTGTTCCCGGGCGGCCGGAGCGGGCCGCCTGCACTCCAAGAAGGCGGGAGAGGGAGAGCGAGGGAGCGAGGGGCGAGCGTTGGGGAGCAGCATGGAGACCTCGGCTGACTGGCTGGCCACCGCCGCCGCCCGGGGCCGGGCTGACGAGGTGCGAGCGCTGCTCGAGGCGGGGGCGCCGGCCCCCGCGCCGAACCGTTACGGTCGGAGCCCGATTCAGGTAGGTCAGCAGGCCTGCCGCGGGAAGGTGGCGGGGGAGCGGGGCGGGGGGATGGCGGGCGCCTTAGAAGGACGAGGTTGGCCAGTGGATCGGAACCAGGTAAGCGTTTCTTGGTAAAGGGGAGACTTCCTGGGAAGTTTTCAGACGGAGGTCGGAGTCGGAGACCTCCTCTCGGCGACGCCCAGGGGGCTTAGGAAGCCACCGGAGGACTGAAAGGCACATGGGGTTCAGCTCTCTAGCCTGGTATGAAGATCTAGAGGGGAGAGCCTATTTGTGTTCATATAAACCGAGGTATGTTTTTCATCAGGTGCGAAATTGACGATCATTTGGGGTAAGAGTTTATAGAAATGGAAGATTTGCTGGACCACTTAACCCCGAACTCACTGAATGGGGAATGGAGCTGATCACCTTCTTTGTTGGGAGTGGGGGAAGGGATTTCAGTGGAAATCTCCTGCTGTGTATGTTGGAATAAAGGTCGATTGAAAATTTTCAGAAGTAACTACACATCGTGTTTATTTTTTTTAACCGAGTAAGGAAATAGACGTTAGGAAATAGACATATCTGAAGAAAAACGTTAATGTAACCCTGCCTGAAATAATGCTGTCAATTTAGTTAACCACTTGGGGAGTATCTCCTATCATTTTGGGTATTTTAAACTTACTTGAAAAAAAAAAAACTTACTTGATATAGGTTAATTTATTTGAGAGTTTTCAATTCCTCAGAGTTTAAAAATGTCATTTCTCCCCTCCCCACTCCAGTTTTGAGTGTGTGAGGGTGTGTTGAGTTCGTTTTTCTGTTGTTTTTCACCTTCACTAACTTCCTAAATCTGAGGCTAAAGACACATTCTTCTTGGCAGTCACTACCCTTGTTTTACGCCCAGTTTTGACAATGATTTCTGATTCTGAAAAACAAAATTTATATGAAGCAAATGCACATTGCAAAAACTCCAGCCTAACAAGACAAAGGAAAAGTAACTCCACTTGGAACTTAACAGGTTTCACAAGTGAATCTTCCTTTCCTGAAACTATACTACACAGGATAAATTTTACACACTTTTAGATACAGATATAAAAATAAAACTAAAATGCCTTCAAATTTGAGATTATTGGGGATTTGAAATGTGGAGAGATTTGGGGAGAGAAAGGTTGAATGGTTGTAGAAGAGAAGCATTGAATCCTTTTTAAAAAATGCATGCCTGAGTCATAATTAGATATCTCTAAAATTTTGCCAGCACCTTGCAGACTGGGCGTTCAGCCTTCGAGTTCTAGAAGGTGTTAGATGAGACCTTACTGTTTAAATACAAAAAGAAAGTTGGATAATTAATTTTAAATCATTTTTTAAATAGGATAAAAGCATAAACAAAAGGGGGTATGATTTTAGTTTTGAACCCTAACCAAATTTGTGTTTAATAGAAAAATACTTAGTTTATAGAAAAATTTTAATTACTAAATTAAATTTAGGTCATCAAGTTGACTTAGGCACCCTATAAATATTAGTTTGTTTGATTAAGTTTCTTTTTGCTTTGGATTGATATTGTTTAAATATTTAAATGTTATGTTACTTTTCAACCTTTAATACTGTGGCATATAATAAAACATTTAAAACCAGTTTTATGACTAAGATGAAGGACTTTATTTATCCAACCCAACTAATATATTTTCACTTGCATTATATACAGGCATGGAAGTGTACAGACATGTACTAGCTCTGGCACTTGCAGTAGAGCTTCCAAAATATTATGACATCATCCTTGGTTGTGGCCCCTTTGTTTTGGAAATTAACCCATAATCTATTAGAAATCTAATAGTGTAAATAAGTAGTTAATAATATTGTGACAGTTTCACCAGTTTTTCTTTTAAAACAATTCTTTCTTCTAATGCACTGCATTAGTTTTTCTTTTTGTAGCTGTAAGTTGGTTCACTTATATTTTCTCTCTGTCTTTTTGAAAATTAAATCAGTTTCACTTTCTCCAGGACAGGAATCAACAAACGTACTGTAACTTGTTATGATTCTCTTATGATTGGTTTGGACAGATTAATTTGTGTTTAATACAGAATGTAACTAAAAATAAGTAATTCCTCTTTATACAGTCACTATGGTCTAGCTAATGTAACCAAATAATGGTTACCCTAAAAAAAGAATAGTCTACCACCACCACCCACCATGTAACACTCAAATTGTAAGGTTGCTGTGATTGTGAACACCATTTCAAAATTCCTCTTTGGTAATGGCTTTGTATCAAAGATTATTTAGGAGCCAAATGAGGTGAGCACCCCCTACTTAGTGAACTCTCAGAGTGTAATCTTGGAAGGTGTCTGAGTTTCCTATTTTTGCTATAACAAATTACCACAAATATAGTATCAACATAAATTTACTATTTTATGTTTCTGGAAGTCAGAAGTCTAAAATGGATCCACAGGGTTGCACTCCTGTTGGGAGTTCTAAGGAAGAATCCATTTCCTTGTCTTTTCCAACGTCTAGTGACAGTCAACTTTCCTTGGCTCTTGGCCCCTGCATCTTCTCTCTGACCTCTGCTTCCATTCTTATATCTTCTCTCTGACTGTGTCCTTTTTATAAGGAAACTTGTAATTAAGTTGAGCCCACCCTGACAATACAAGTTAATCTCCCTCAAAATCCTTAATTTAACCACACCTGCAAAGTCCCCTTTGCCGTATAAGGTAATATATTCACAGCTTTTGAGTGTTAGGAAAGTGGACATCTTTGGGGGGCATTAGTTTACCAGAAGAAGGAATTTTAGGGCTGGTTAGACAAACTTTCTCATTTTATTCTTAAAGAAATTGAAGTTTAACGTTCAGGGAAACCAAGGGTAGCTTAAAGTTTTGCAAGAATTAAGTTTTTGTCATTTTTTTCTTTTTCATTTTTGCTTTTAAACAATTAGCACATTCTGGGCTTGGATATACAGCAGTGAACCATACAAAATCTCCGAGCCTTACATAATTTCATATCAAAATGAGGAAGAAAATAGAGGAGGTTAGGCTGTAGTAAAAGCCAGTTTGTTCCTCACCCTTTTGCTGTTGTCTGTGACTCTGGCAGTTTTCTGTGCGTGGCTGGAACCCTGCAGAACGTTGGAGAATATAACAGAATGTGTACAGAAAAATGGAATAGGTAGGAGAACTGGCTAAGCGAGCTGGTAACTGAAAGAAAGTAGTAACTAGACACCTGTGGCTTGTAAGGGCGTCTGCACGGGCTGGGGGCTCCGCAAATAGTTTGTTTAATCCTGCCCTTGTCCCCACCCCGGTCCTGACCGCTCTGCTCTTTCCGGCAGGTCATGATGATGGGCAGCGCCCGCGTGGCCGAGCTGCTGCTGCTCCACGGTGCGGACCCCAACTGCGCGGACCCCGCCACCCTCACCCGACCCGTGCACGACGCCGCGCGGGAGGGCTTCCTGGACACGTTGGTGGCGCTGCACCGAGCCGGGGCGCGGCTGGACGTGCGCGACGCCTGGGGCCGCCTGCCCGTGGACCTGGCTGAGGAGCGGGGCCACCGCGACGTCGCCCGCTACCTGCGCGCGGCTGCAGGGGGCACCGAAGGCGGGAGCCACGCCCTCGCAGACTCCGCGGAAGGTCCCGCAGGTGAGGTGGCTGATCCACGAGTTTGAACTCAGCTTCCGCAGCCCAGCGCACTCACTTTTTGGAAGAGAAAGTTGGGCCTAGGAGACTAGGGTATTTGGTCCTACCTCAGCTCACCCTGCCAACCCGTGGGACAACTCCAGTCTCCCGATCGCACTGCCTCGTTAGGACTGCAGACGGGAAATAGCCCAAGATGGACTGTCGCACGTTAAAGCCCATCCCATAAACCGTGCCTCCCATCCCCTAAACACTTGAGAACCAGACGGTGGAAAATTGAGCACTCCGGAGGCTAGAGGTCTAGTGGCCCCTCTTCCTGCAAATTAGCTGGCTAGCTGCATCCTTTCAACGGCCCCCAGTTTCCCCACTAGTTTAACAAGGTCGCTGAACCAACCCTGGAATTTCCAAAGCCAACTGCGCGTGGCATCATCTGGCAGAGATCTATTATTCCCGGCTCTACTGCAAAACTCTACTAAATCCGGCCTTCCGCTCTTTGCGGTGGAGTTTTTCAGAGCTCCCCCAGTGGGTTCTGAAGGCGACTGGGATGGAGACCTCGCCAACTCTCGCAGCCTCCACACTGGGATTCGCTGCACTCTCTGAGAAACAGAGACACTCTCTTAAGCTTTTCCGTTTCTTAAGCATTCTGTTATGATGGATATGTGGACCTCCTTGCCTTTTCCTACGACCACGAGGACTTCTTTTCCCTTGGCCCATTTCCCCCACCTCACTCCTACCTGCTTAAAGTACCAACTTTACTCTGACTTTTTTCTGAAGGGGGAATCATTTTATATACCTATCTATCTATCTACCTACCTACCTATCTATCTACCCATCTATAGCAATATACGAAATTACGCGAAAATTTAAGGTAAACCATGACTTCGAAGAGACTGAAATCTATCGTATTTTGGCTCAGAACTGGGGCACTAGGCTCCCTGTGCCTTAGGGGAGCCTAGGAGGATGGAGTGGAAAGGCTTGCTCTGGACCTTTGGGAGATGTCTTGAGTGCTAGGGCTTGGGTGTGAGAGGCACCCATATCTCCTTTAGCCTGCCACCCTCTCTCTCCTCCAACTGAAGCTTCCGTATGGAATGCAGCATAGGACTAGGGGCCAATCACAGGGCTGTTGGGCGGAGCAAGAACTGGGAAGAGCTGAACAGGAGAAGGATTTAGATGATAGAGTTGGGCCACAGGCAAATGAATAATCAAACCTAAGATATTTAACCCAAGTACACACGATCCCTCCCTCCTTCCCTCCCTCCCTTCCTTCCTTCCTATTTTTTAAGTTCCTACTTGCGTGATCAGCCCCATTCTAGATCAGACACAGAAGTGAATAGGACAAAATGGGAATCCTGCCCTCAGAGAGCTTACATTCTGGGAAGTAGATTTTTAAGCAATATAACTGTATTTCGAAGAGTGAGTTTGTAAAACCGATGTGGTGGATAAGAGTGAAGTGTGAATAGGCAGGGAGACTATCTTAAGAGTGGTCAGAGAACCTGAGTCATGAGAAGAGATTAGCCACGGGAGGCAGAGAAACTCGAGTGCAAAAACTTACATGAAAAAGAGCGTGGCAGTTTAAGAGGACCCAGAGGCCAGCTGGAGCGAGTACACAACGAGATCAAAGAGGAGGGCAGAGGCCAGATAACGTAGTAGTGGCCCTGTAAGTCAAAAAAAAAAAAAGGACGTTAGGTCAAAACATGGATTTTGTTCTAGAAACGTTAGGAAGCCATTAGCAAGTTTGGGAGATAGGGTCTGGGAAAGAAGATACGACTGAAACGAAAGGTTCTCACACTGCAGAGCGCCCCTGAGACTGAGGTGCTCCCTGGTTATGCGAGTTCGCCTAATCGCTGTGCGTCAGGTGCAAGAAATACCTGGGGACGTTCGAAGGGCAAGGCGACCCCTTCACCTCCAGTCGCCTGGCATTATGTGTGGCAAACAACTTGGCACTCGTTATAGACCTGCTTGGTTCTCGCAACCCCACAGGTTGCGCGGCTGCTGTCTCCCTGCCCTCGTCGGGCGAGTCCCGAGGGCGGGAGCGGCCTGGCGAGCCCGGAGCAGCCCAGCGGGTCAAGCGGACGCGCTACGAGATCGGGAAGGCTCGGGAGTGCGGCGGCGGCTGGGAGGGTCCAGACTCCCTAGACAGACGCTGTGCTGAGGGTTGGTGAATGTTAAGAAGATGTGTCTGCATAGCCAGTGGGGGGCTTCGAGAGAGGAGGGAGGGGTCGCACGTCTTTGACTTCTAGTTTCTAATGTCTTTTTCCTTTCTGCCGTCTACAGACAGTCCCGCCCTAAAGAATCCTTGAAATCTAGAGAAACTTCGACTACGTATTTGATCTTCAGTCGTCGAAGTTTGAATACAAGAACTACCCCCACCATATCTGTCTTCCCTGCTTAGTTCCAATTCATCAAATAACGCTTTTAAAAAGTTGGAACTGCCTCCCCCTTCCTTCCCTTAAATTTTGCTATAAAATTAAAAAAAAAACAACCCGACACTGTTCTTGTCTTTTCATCGTGTTGGAGTTTTCGGGAGTCAGTACTCAGGCTCTGGGAACACATTTAAGCGGGCACTTCCTCTTTCGAGCCTCGCACCCGCCAGGGGCTGAGGTTATTACAGCCATTTTGTGAACTAGGAAAACGAAGCTTAAGTGGATTACGTGACGCTTCCTGTGTCAAACTGCCCGCAAGGGGCGGAGCCAAGGCGCAAAAAAATTTAAAACAAATAGGGTTCTTTCCGTTCACTCAGTCAACATTTATTGACCTATTATGGCACCTTACCAGGGGTATAGTTGTGTGTCTGGGGGGGGGGCGGGGGGAACAGATGTCCCTGGACAGGGCCAGGGACGTAACTAATAAGCACACAACACGTAACTAGAAATTTTAAGACCTGTTTCATTGAATCGCCGATATAGCATTGTTTCCGAGACTCACCATTGTTTCACATACACCTTAGAAAGAAAAACGCTGCAGGTAAGAGTGCATACCATAGGTTGATAAGACACATTCGGATTTCAGATAATGAAATGTCAAAAGCTGGGACTTTAGATCGATGAAAAGGGGTAAAAAGTGATAAAATGGAAACTCCAGGGAAACCTCAGATTGAGACTTCCCTTACTTACCTGGCTCCAGAATAAAAGCCCCGTAAGTAAGGTTTTGGGTATTTTGCACAAAGCGTCACAGCCAATAATAGCCAATACTAGGTGGCGGAGCCTGCAGAACGTGACCCACAACAACGTGCAGAGTTCTGCATCCCGCTGGGGCCTGCGTGAGCTGGCCCTCCAGGCCGGCCCAGCGCCCCGGAATTCGACAGCGGCGGGCTGTGAGGTTGTGGCCACCCAAGACAAAAGCAGCTCCGCGCTTCTTTGCCAGAGCAGGGATGTTGCAGGAACGTAGCTCCAACTTCAGCTGGGGCTGCCTCAGTCTCCGTTGCTTATTGAGGTGAAATTCACATAAGATTAACAATTTTAAAGGGTATAATTCAGTGGCATTAGTACACTCACAATGTTGTGCAACCATCGCCATTTATCTAGTTCCAAAACATTTTCATCATCCCCAAAGGCGACCCCATACCCATTAAGCATATTCATTAGATCCTCCCTGTCCCCAGACCCTGGCAACCACTAATCTATTATCTCTATGGATTACCTATTCTGGACACTTGATGGTAAGTGGAATCATACAATATGTTGCCTTTTGTGTCTGTCTTTCACTTAGCATACTTTTTTTTGAGGTTTATCCATGTTGTAGCATGTAGCACTCCTTATGGTCGAATAATATTCCATTGTTTATCTTGTCATCTGGTAATGAACATTTGGGTTGTTTCTACCTTTTGGTTTTTGTGAATAGTGCTGTGAACATTTGTGTACCAGTATTTTTTTGAATATTTGTTTTCAATTTCGGGGGTATATACCTAGGAGTGGAATTGCTAGGTCATATAATATGTTAAACTTTTTGTGGAACTGCCAAACTGTTTTCCACAGCAGCTGCACTATTAAACATTCCTACCAGCAATGTACAAGAATTGCAATATCTCCACATCCTCAATAGCACTTGTTATTTTCTGTTTTTTTTTTTTTTTTTTTAGAAGCCATCCTAGTGGGTATGAAGTGGTAACTCATTGTGGGTTTGATTTACATTTCCTTAATGACTACAGATGTTGAGTATCTTTTCATGTGTTTATTGGTCATTTGTATATTTTCTTAGGAGAAATGTCTCTCCAAGTCCTTTGTCCATTTAAAAACTGGGTTGCTTTTCTTTTTGCTGTTAAGTTGTATGAAATCTTTGTATATTATAGATACTAGATCCTTATCAAATATATGATTTATATTTTCTTTCATTGTATCTGCTGTAATTTCACTTTACTGATAGTGTCCTTTTTTAAAAAAAAATATTTATTTATTTGGTCGTGCCAGGTCTTAATTGCTGCAGGGGGGCTCCTTAGTTGTAGCAGTCCCCTTAGTTGCAGCAGGCGGGCTCCTTACTTGCGGCACATGGGCTCCTTAGTTGTGTCATGCAAACTCTTAGCTGAGGCATGCATGTGGGATCTAGTTCCCTGACCAGTGATCGAACCCGGGCCCCCGGCATTGGGAGCGTGGAGTCTTATCCACTGCACCATCAGGGAAGTCCCGAGAGTGTCCTTTTATGCACAAAAGATTTTAGTTTTGATGAAGCCTAATTAATTTTATTTGTTTTGTTTGTTGCTTATGCTTTTGGTGTCATATCCAAGACTCCATTACCAAATCCAAGGTCATAAAGATTTACCTCTATGTTTTCTTTTTTTTTAACTTTGTATTTTATATTGGAGTAGAGTTGATTAACAATGTTGTGTTAGTTTCAAGTGTACAGCAAAGTGATTCAGTTATACATATACATGTATCTATTCTTTTTCAAATTCTTTTCCTGTTTAGGTTGTTACATAATATTGAGCAGAGTTCCCTTTGCTATATAGTAGATCCTTGTTGAAGATTTACCTCTATGTTTTCTTCCATGACTTTTAGAGTTTTATAGCTCACACTTAAGTCTGATGCACTTCGATGTA